CTTTTTGTGTTGCTCTGTAAATTTAAAAATTAATTAGACAATTTTAGCATTTTACATTTGTAATTTTAATGTTTTTTTGCTATATTCAAAGTTCAAATTCACGTAAAATAACTACGCATTTACTATCTGTATTTGAGATTTTTTTGATAATATACGCATATGCTATGCCATAATGTTTCTTTTCTTTTCACGAAACATTTTTTACGATATTTTAAAACAAGTATAATTGAGACAAATTGCCACATACATGCATATGTATACATATGTACATATATACTTTTTATTAACATGTTTCTATAATTTGTCAAGATCACTAAAATTTTATGTAGATTTAAATGTACATATTTATACTCGTATTTTTGATTAAAACAAATTTGGAAAATATCAGAAAAACTTTTCTGCTTACGTGATCATTCAATTAATAATTTGATGACATAGGTATCATAACTATCTTAGTACATGTGAGAGTAGATTTGTGGCGTGCATGCTTATGTTTTACTTTAGTTAACAAAAGAATTGAATTTTGACAATTTGTTTGTACATGTACAGTATTCTTTGTAATTACTAGTCAGAAAAAATATTTCACTTAAATGATAAACTGTAAATATTTCACTTAAACATTAATGATAAAAATTTTACATACATACATTATGTACAAATATAAGTTAAAATAATATAATAATAGATTAAAAATAAATCTACAGCCAATTGCCACAAATTTTTTTTGGCAGGCTTACTTTTAGGTTGACGTTTCTGTTTTGTTCAAAGCAGAACAAAAATTTGAAGTGGTCAAATAATGGGACATTTTATTTAGATACTGACTAACAATGGTACTTTATGCCGACTGTAACTTGGACATATGTACATAATTTCAAATTTTCCCGGTAATCGTTAATAAAATACGTTCTATCTCTTATTCAAGTTTAAACAAATTTTATTAAACTAGTAGTGTACTGGCAACTGCTGTTCCCTTAAGCTAAATTTAATTTTTCTGACCAAAATATAGATGCAGAGAAGAGAAAAAAAGTTACCAAATAAAACCATAAGGCAAGATTTTGAAAAAAAACTTTAGTCGTTGTCCAAAAAAATTTTTTTTTTTTCTCAATGGTTGATAATTTTTCCGAAATATAATTTTTTATTATTGGTGTGAAAAGAAAACTTCCTTTTATTCGGAATAAAATACTTTTATTTTTCGCTAATATATTTCGTGCGCTACATATGCACTTTATCAAAGCTGATTTTCTTCTGTAAATTTTCTTCTAGTCGTTGTTCTAATTTTTTTTTTAAAACGGCCATCAGTTTAATAAAAAGTAGCTAAAGTTTATGTTTACAGACTTTACAAGGAATCAACTTTATTATCAATTTATTTTTCTCTAATAATGTAATATTATTTAAAAATACATTGAAAACCTAAAATCTTAATTTGAATCACAATAATTTCAACTTTCTTCAATCAATCAAACAAATAATCACTAAAATATCTCAAACTTTCTGAAGTTCTAGATATTCATAACATCCAAAGTTTATTTAAAATTATAAAATTTGAATAATAATCAAAGCAAAAGAAACGAGAATGTAAAATAAAATGAATTTGTTTTGTAGTTTAAATTCAATTATTGTCATTTAAAATGGTGCTTATCTTCAAATGTTAACAAATACTTGTTCATATATTGACCTTAGTCAGTCCATATCTCTCATACACCGTAATTTCTTTATTACTTGCCATTTCTCAAGTAAAAAAGATCTTATATTTTACTTTAGACTTTTCAATTTGAAACGTCATGTATTGGTGAGATATTTTTTATTAAATTTGTATTCTTATTTATGCTACATTAATGTAGATTCGAAAAATCGTAATATAACCATTTACCACATGTACGCCTTTGGAAAGTATGTCGAACAAACTGATAATGATTTGATTTTAAAATATGTACAAAGTTAGATAGGATTATAAAAATTTTGAATTATTAAAAAATATTAAAAATCATATAGGTATGTAAGCTTTTCGCACGTTCTATGCATATGCAAGTGTTATTGTTATATAGTTAAATTTTTTTCCTCATTTTGTGTTTTCATGATTTTATTTAATTTTGCTCTATTTAACCAGCTTTAGGTCTGATTTAATTTTAAAATATTTTGCTAATTTGACTATTAATATTAAATCGTCGTTGATGTTTACTTAAATAGAAAAAAAATTGTAGATTTTTTTCGCAAATTTGAAATTTCACATACTGGAATTTCTAAAAATTTAATATGGCGACTTATTTTTATTATTTAATTAAAACTATTGTTTATCCACTAGTTATGGAATTGAAATATATTATTAATTTTTAGTTTTATACTAGTTTTATCTGTTTATTTAATAAAAACCTCAGTAAAAACTTTATATTAGGTTAACATTAAATATACAACCATCAATGGTTGTACATTTTATAATAAGCAATGACGCTCAGTCAAATTACTTTAATTTATTTTGATTACAGCAAGATTTTTCGTGTGATTACTGATATATTTTTGTTCCTCAATTTATTTTAAAGAATCTTGTGTTACCATTTTCTTTAAACCAGTTTCTTTTAATGACAATTCGAATATCTAGAGGCCATAGGTTTTTTTAATTGCTTAGAATGATTTGCGAGATAAGGTAGAAATGAGACAATGGCCCAAAAGTTGCCAATTATGAATGATAATCCAATTTGTTTTGATCGTAGGGTTAGTAACGGTAAGAGTTAGAGGTTCTGGAATTTCAAATTATATGTAGATATAGATTAAAAAAATTTTTTTCTTTAAAACTAATTTTTTAAGCCATATTTTTTATATAATAATGAACGCAAATACTAAGTAATATCTATATCTTTAGCAATAATACGCTTTTACTTTTACCAACTGCATAACATATTCTTCTATTTAAATTATGGCGGTCCCGCTTGAAAACTTGTGGGTTGCATTTATTTGTCTAAACAATTTGTGCTATTTTTGCTCGCAATATTTTTATTTAACTAAAAACTATTAAAAAACAGAACTTCAAGAAGTTCTTCAAAAATAATTGATTTATTCAATACGCTCTCTGACACATCAAATGGTTGAAAGAGTAATCGAAGGTTTTATTCTTTTTCCTTTCGATTCTTGTAATTACAGTTTTAATAATATAATTCTTAAAACTTAAATAACCTAAAACACTTAAATTAAAGTGTACTTAAAAAAACGAGAACAGATTTTTTAGATTTCAAATAAAATTTAAAATTTAAGAGTCATAAACAAAGTTTAAAATGGAAGCTGGCGTAGCTTACCATTTTTGTAAAGGTTTTATTTAAACACACAATTAACAAGTTATCCTACCTACCTCAATCTTAAAACTCTAAGCAAATTTTTCTCCAATGTCAATGAAATTCTTGTCGATTTTAATTAAAAAAAAATTTGAATAAAATTTGACTTACCCTTTCTTCGTTATCAACCATAGTCTCATATTTTTACGAACGCAGTAATCCAAATTTTCTAAATATGTATGTAGGTGTCCTTATTTTTTAATATCTTTTATATTTTTTATATTATTAGATACCAATAGATTATATTAATTGTCTGAATATCTGAAATAAAAAATAAATAAGTACATACATACATAATGTAAATTGATAAAAATATTTATTTTTAAAAATAAAAATTTAAATATTCGTTTTAAATATTTAAGTAAAAATACAATAAATAAATAACATGGCATTTTTCAAATTAAATCTGGCTAATCCCTAATTTATTTAATCAAGTAATATAATTTACATGTATATGAAAAGAAGTGAAGGTACAAGTAACATGTTGTAATTATTTTTCCATTTAAAAATTATGCACCAAAAGCTCAATACTAACATATATGTGCATAAAGTAATTCATTATGCCATAATACGCACATACAATTAACATACATATGACAAAAATAGACACAAAAATAAATGTTTTGATTTCAAAATTAGAATTCGAATTGGAATTAATTTGAGTAAAAATTTTAATAAAAAATATTTAAAAATATAAATTCATAAATATTTAATTTAATAGAAGTATTTTAATTTGTGAGAGAACTATCATGACGTTGCTATTTTATATGCTAATTTTCTCCTTGAAAATATTTATTTTTAATTTCTTCATGACTTTAAATATTACAGAACCAAATTATCTGGTTAATTTTAATAAAATCACAAATATCAAACCCTTTGCTTTATAAACATTGAAAACAAATATATGTATATTTAATAAAAAAAATTATATTTAACTGTTCTATTTTTAAGTTTTTTTTTATAATAGAAGCAAAATCCCTTATATTTTTTTTATTTTGAAATTGATTGATTGGTGCACTTTAATTTTCCTCTACTAAAATGGCCGTCAGTATTTTTTGCTTTCCATTTATTTCGAACAAAGGTTCATATTTTTTATCTGACCTATTCTAGGTTTTTTTTGTTGAATTTATGCGAAATTTATTGGCTGGCATTTAAATTTTTTATATTAACTTACAATTTTGTTAATTAAATTGTTTTTAATTTTTAAAAAATAAACAATCGAAAAATTTCTGACAATGAAATACCTTTTTTTCACCACGGGGAATAATCAAATCACAGAGATGGAAAAAGTTAACAAAATGCAAAAAATTATTCACCACAGGAAACGTCAAACTGTTGGGTAATGATATTTGTTTGACATTTTGAATAGGGCTGAAAAAAATTCAACTGGATTGCGAACGCGGCAATCAGATCTCTTGTCTGATTCTGATGCTCCTAATTGTATGCTTGGCTTGTTTTTCTCGTTGACGGTCATTTCCAAAAAACGCCAAACCTATTGGTATTTTTAAACTCATTTGTGTTTGAATTTTACATACTCTTGTAATTTTCCCTTCGCATGTAGAGTAATCTTTACCAGTAGGTCTTTGTTTTTACAAATGTTATAATTACAAGAATAGCAGAATTTGCATTCCATTTTTCAATTTTCTAATTTAAATGATAGGATTAGAAACGCTGTCATATTATATATTAATCCACAATTTTTATTTAAATATGGAACTATTACATAACGGTAAAAAATGTGTATATTATAGGTACAATTTAATTAACTCATCGCTCACTGCGGATGGAGTTAAAATTCCTAAATCACTGAAAATCAATGTAATATATGCTGGTGGTGTATAATCAACTAACGGATGAGCTTTTCCAATATTTTTTAAATTTCTTAAATCTTGTTTAGAATACTGGAAAATTAAATGTTTGTTATATTTCAACATTCTATTTACTTAATGAAAATAATCATTACTTTATATTCATCAGGAAGATCTCTTTGATTAAGAGGATACAATCTCGTGAATTTAAAACTTTCAGCTACAACATAAACAGGTTTTTTCATTTCCTTAGCACATACTGCCATTGTGAATGTACCAATCCTATTAATAATTCCACCACTTTCAACAACTCCCTCAGCTCCCACCATAACAAAATCGACACTCTCCATAACATATCCTATAGCAGAATCTATTATTAAAGTGCAATCGATCCCACATTTTTCCAAATCGGCACACATTTGTTTTCTAGTAATCAATATATATTTTTTCTTCAATTATTAGAAATTTTATTCAAAATTAAGTCATTTCTTACCCGTCTTTATCATGACCTCCCTCGGTTACATAAACATGAAATTTTTTGTTACTTTTGGCCGCTAGTTCCAGAGTTTGTAACACTACTCTTGATCTTGAATGCGTCAATACTCGGCATCCATCAGTGATGAACTGAACAGCTTGATTTGATACTATTTGTCTACATTCTAATAATTTAGATAGAAAAGATTTTCCTCTATTCAACATAATATTTTTACATTCTTCCATAGATTTGTCATCAAATTTAGCAAAAGTGATAAATCTTGAAAATAATTCACTTCCAGAAACTATTGCTGTTATTGGAAGTTCTGATGACCGCATGGCTAAAACAGCTGCTTGGATTGTTGAGATTAATATATGGATGGTGTCAACTACAAAAACAATAATATCTATAATAGTTCAGAAAACTTTTTAAACAATTCCTATTATCAACCATTAGACTACCAGCGTAATAATATTTAGATAACAAAGCCGGTCGGGCCTTACCAGTAGTCGAAAAGCAATTTTCAGAAAATATACTTATGTCTACAAAGCTTACATTTAGTATTTTCAAGTACCATTAACAAGGTTTTGATCGCAGCGATTCTACAATATATAAAATTAAGAAATTTTAATTTTGAAATAGAAAAATTATTTTGAAAACACTTGTTTACCCTGAAGAAAGACTTTTGTCATTATCCATTAAAGCTGTAAAATATTTTACAACTGAAACATAATACAATAAATCATTAATAATATTTTTATGAAATATATTAAAAAATATATACCATGTGCATTAAATTTGTCTTCAACCATTTTCGTCGTTTTACTTATTTTCAATTTTATCATTAAATTGTTCTGAAATAAAAATTAAGAAATTAAAAATAAACCAAAACAGATGATAGAATCAAATATGAATGAATAAAAAATGTTGATTTGTGGCAGTCAATATCTAGCGGAAGCTTTTGAAACCGAAAAAAATATAAATGTGTTTACATTTAAAACAACTTAAGAGACTTCACCTGATGCATCATTTTAACGCTCGCTACTTCTATATTCTGGGAATATTTAAGAACTTAAAAGTGTTTTCTTTTTAAACAAAAACTTATTAACTTATTAGCTTAGCAGAAAAATTTAAATTTGTTTTAGTTTTTAGTAGTGAGTCGGAAAAGCAGGTAATGTTAAAGAAGGAAAATTTAGTTGTGCAATATTGCCGAAGAGTATCGTTGTATATTGATTTTCATTATATATACATATATGTCTTTTTTGGGTATTTCTAATACATAATGTGTATGTACATTAAAGGTTGCCCGAAAACCTGATTTTCCCGGTTTTTTTTATATTTCTTCCTTGTCAAATAATGGTTCTCGAAACGATAAATTGTCCCAGTTTAGGATTTTTTAGACAAAAAGTATATTCATGAAAAATTCCGTAGACTTGAATATAATCTGAAACAAAGTTCCAGTGGACTATTTTTTCACATTGAAAATGGTTATTCAATTTGACATGTTCATTTAATATTGGCATATACTTTAACCAGCTAAAACATTATTGGAGATAACTAGTTCAGTGTTTTTTCAATACATTATGCGTTCCTTCATGATATCGTATTAAATTTTAGCTCTTAGTTAAAAATAATAAGCTTTGTCTAGTGAACGGGTTCTTCACAAAACACTATTTCATTTTTTGGCAGTTTTCTCGGGAAGAGACTTAAAGGTTTCCATTTTTCAAAATTATTCTCTTCTCAAAGTTCTTTTTTTTAAATACTAATTTCATTGCATAACAGCAGTATAGGTAGACATTTTGCCACCGGGTTGGAAAGTAAAGTCCGATATCGTAAAAGCTTAAACTTCTATAAATTAACAAATATGTACGTGATTTACTAACTGTCAAAAGTTCTTGTCTAGTTTTTTTTACATTGTATTAAAAGAGCGAACTACAAAAAATGTAATTCTTAAGTAAAAAGTTGAATTTTCATTAATTTAATTCAAATTTTAGATTGCCAAGAATGAGCACTCCAACTCAAATTTTGCGATCACTTTTACATGAATTAAGACAAGCTTCACCAAATAAATGCATCAAGAACAATTTGGCTGCAAACTATATTCTTGCACAATTTAAAAAGTATCAAACAACAGACCAAACTCTTTGTAAGGCAAGGGAAGAGATGAAATTTCTTGGTAAAACATATTTGTGTTATTTACAAAGTTTAAGAAGACATGCTGAAATTCATAAAGAATACCATGGGAGGGGTGAACGAACGGTGAAGGAAACCGCAGATATAGTCGGTTTTAAATTACCGACTGACCCCAAATGAATTAATCTAATAGTTGTACTTTGTTTTTAGTAAAAATAAAAATAGGACATTGTTGAATTTCAAATACTGTGTTTTATTTCAGGTAAATTATACTCTATTATAAGTAACCGGTGCACATTTTTCAGGTATATATATTTCATTTTCAAAGTACTTGTGCTTTTTAACAATACAGCTTAAGTGATTTTGATTCGCACTTATAATTCATTACCTGAATTTTCATGCGAAAATGACGTGTTTTCCTTCTGCCAATTCTTTAGCAGCATGAATTTATATCTTGATTTTTTCTAAATCATTTGTGATCATTTCTGCAGATGAAACTAAAGGTTTGCTTTCTTTTACCCAAAATCCTTCACTTGATAATTTTTCTGATTGCATATCAAATAAATGAAAAGCCATATTGTTAAAAATATCTCGAAAGCAGTAATTATTTTCTAAAGGAAATTCTTTAATGCACGACGATATTTTTTTTAATTCCTTGTAATTTTCATTTGCCGTTTCAGAATTCTTTGCTAAAACCTCATCTATGCTATTACAGAGTAACACAATTTTACTTAGCGAGTTTGGACTCCAATTTTGCCACAAAATATTATTTGTTAATTCCACTGGACAATGCGGCAGACAAACAAGCGTGCTGCTGTCTATAGAATAGAATCCTTCATAATTTTCAGGCGTTATTTTAATGTTTTTGGAGGTTAAAAATATTTTTTCATGTTCAGTTAAGACAGGATCATAAAATTCGACGTCTCTTATATCAAATTTTTTGATCAAAATCATAAAAAAGGCCAACTGATGCAAGCAATCAATGTTGAATGAGAATGGCCCAATTCCTAAACATATCATTCTTTTGAATTTTTCCAATTTAATCATGCTCAAAATTTTTTGCAGCGTACGTAAATTTCTTTTCAAAAAATCTGATGCTATCATTTCAACCTCTACCTTTAATAATTTCCTAAAAACAATATACTTATCTACATATATGATTACGGGTGTAATAATATATTAATAAACTAAATTTGATAATTTACTTTTCGAATAAATCCAAACTATGAAGTTGACCCACAACAGCACGCATTCTATTTTTGTTCTCATTTTTATACAGGATTTTCTTCTTGATTTTTTTTCTACCAGTTATTTCCAGGAACCCGTCTCCAATGTCTTTGTTATTAGGCATGATGTAGAACTCTAAATTGTTAATTTTTTTGCAATAAGTTGTAACTGGTATGTAATAATTAGAAAATAAATAAATATTTATATCATCAAGACAGTTGATTTTCTACTTAACATTATAATTTTGCGACATGCGATACTTTTTCAATAACGTAAAAGTAGTAAACATTGACCTATTTAAATTCACAATTGATGCTAGAGAGTATTCAAAAAGGAAATTGATTGACAGTGCTTATTTCTTGTGACTGCATTTGTAAAATTGCAAATGTATTTACAGCAAAATGATATTCTTCTCTTTTTTTCGCTTAGAGTTTGCTTTCACAAAAATGACTAAAACTAATAACTTCTATATTGAAATGAAATGTGGACCTTTTTGAATAATACATCAAAAAATCAAATTTCAAGTCAAAATGTTAAGTAAAATTTTTAAAGAAAAAAGGGCCCTTATAGCTTCCATAAGAATACGTGTAAATTCTACTAAAGTAAGGAGCATTTTTACTTCTATTTCGCCAAAATCTTTAGGTAAATTTCTATCTTTGTTTCAAGCATTGTCAAAATTGACATTAAATGCCAAATATTGTTTTTTTTTTTTCTTGGAAAAGCATTCAACGCTGGCAAAAAAATTAAATAAAGGAAGATTTGTGATTTTTTCCTTTTTAAGTTAGTGAAGTCTGTGAATGAAAAATTATGAAATATATAAAAAAAATATAACAAAAAAAAAACAATTACTTTTATTACAATAACAAAAGAAGAAGGTCCATAATTTTAACTTGTAGTTCCCATTCAATAAAACAAATGGATGTTTTCCAGCATTTCAATAATTAAAAGAATTTTTAAAACACATTTTAATAATTAAAAGATATATTTATTCAATATTGTTAAATTTTCAAAATTCATAATTCGTAAATTTATTAAGTTTTTCAATTTGCAAAGAAAGTATTTGCCTTTGTTTTGTTTTTAACTAAAATCTGTTCGGTCAGATGACATAATTTTACCATTTTGGAGGCTTTTTTTTCTAAGCAATATTTATTTTCTTATTATTTTAAACATTAGTTTGTTTAATAAAATGTACAATATAAAAAAATTTTTAAATAATTTATTAAAAATTTTTAAATAAAAAATTTTTTTTAATAGTTTGCCGTTTTCCAAAGAATAGTGAAACGAAATGTAAAGAATGTGGAGTGAAGAAGTTTTTATTTCAATATTTTACCAAGCAGTGCATATGTTCATAACGTTTTGACTCAAAATATGAAAAGAAATTATATGGTAGAATTTATTTAACCCGATTACTTTTTTAATTTCTATGTAATAAATATATTTTTTAAATGTAACTTGTTTTAATAATATTTCCTTTTATAGAGTGAATATTTGGTCAACAAAGAATATGTGAAGAGGCACCGTTGCGGTTCAATCCAGCAATTAAAGTAAAATGTTAATATAATTTTTTTTAACTTATTTATCTTAAAAATTGCAGATTCAAATTTTATAGTAGGGGCCAAATAAAAAAAATGAAGAAGTACGCTCCTGTTACAACTTTGACAATGCTTGGAACAAAAAAGAAGTATTTTGTATTCATTTATCGTTATTGCTAAATATTTTAAAAATATTTGTGTATTAACAAATCAAGTTTTAAAAGGAAAATATAAATAGGTGTACAACAATAGACAACTTCAATGTGAAACAGTATTTTAAAAAATGTTTTATTTTTAAATTTATGTTCACAATTCAAATTTATATATATATGTAAATATATATATGTATATATATAAAAATATATATATAAATAAAAAATAATGAAATATACTGTTAAATAAGACTTTTAAAATTGAACCTTCTTGACTGGAATAAAAAATATGTCAATCAACTGCCAAAATGATTAATCAATATTAACTATAGGTTTACATAGGTAAATTCTGGCAAAAAAGTTGCAATACATACAAAAATTTGCAAAACACGCTTTAATTTTTGTTCAACACTAGTAAGATAATTTTGGCACCTGTAATTTAAGCAACTAATTTGCAAAGTCAAAAAAAATTTTGAAAAAAAAACTATAATTTAAATCAATTTTAAAATTCTTTACTGAAAAAATTAAAGTTTTCCCTTCAATATTATACGTCATTGCAGCCAATAATTTAAAATTAGAATGACAATTATTAATATTACAGAAACTTTTTTACCAAAAACTGACGAATCACAATGTCACACGAATCGAATGTCATTGTTCTTTTTCGCCTAAATGGTATTATGACATAATAAACTAATTCATAAATTTTTCGTTTAAAAAAACAAAATCGTAAAACTATTAAAACTAATAAAAAAAAAATCCAGAGGTAATCCGCGGTGGAGTTAAGTTCGGATTCAATAAAAGTATATTGAAGGAAATGTGGACAAACTTTACTAGGAAGTTAACGCTCTGGGACCTTAAATATAAAATCAATTCTACTAACTTAGTTTCTGGTAACTCTAAGGGATGTTCTAATAGATGTTACGGGATCAACCTTTATACATTTTCGTATCCTTTTAATATTTGCATTTTCCTGGTCTACAGTACTATTACTGGTGTACTCATCGCATCGAGCACTCGATTAAAACATATTTTCGTTTATTTCATAAAGTAAAAATGTAAAAATATCAAATAAACATAAAATTTTTTGAAAAATTTTTTTATTTTTAAAACCTACAATATTCACTATGTTAACTTTTTTAATAACTTTAAATGCCGATTTTTTTAAACTCGATAGCAACCAATCTTTGTCGAACTCTACCATCCTATCGGCGAATATTTGTGTAAGTCATTCACAAACCATAATAACCTTATAAATTATAACCAAGAAAATTATTTTCAAAATATAAATTATTGATTAAATTGAACTAAAATTCATAATTAATAAGATTATTAAATTACCAGCTTTTCTAAAGAAAATAAAAACACTTCTCTATTGTGATCGTAAATTTATAAATTTAGATGTGTAAATGTTAAATAGACTTGTAAACAGCTTAAAAAATATTTAAAAAAGTAGGGTAAAGTTGACATAGCAACGAAATATTTTCAAGCAAATAATAGAACAATTCTGAAGAGCAAACCAACATTCACAAGTAAAATGATTTTTGCTATAAATTATGGCTTGTATTTGTGTTGGACCAAAAGGATCTGGAAAAACTCATTTGCTTTCAGCTTTAAAAAATGAAAGCACTATTGACATTACGACTCACTCCGTTTCAACGGTTGGAACAAACATTTTCAAAATTGCTATTCCTAATTACTTGATAAGTGGTTTAAATCAATCTAATAAAAAAGAAAAATATAGCACTATTTTAGAAATTGGTGGCTGTATGGCGCCTTTATGGCGAAAATACTTTAATAATGTTAACAAAATAATTTATGTGGTTGACACTTCAAATTTATGCCAAATATCATGTGCAGGTTTTGATTCAGAAATGAAATTTATGAGTATATATGTACATATGAATATAACGTTTGAATTTTAGGTGTTTTGTTATATTCCATTATGGCTGATCCGAGACTGCAGAAGACAAAATTTTTATTAGTGTTGACTAAAATGGATTTGGCATATAGGCAAATGCGGAATGAAGCGCTATTGATGCTTCAGATGGTAAAAAATTTTAATTTTTACTATCTAAGAGTTATAACATGTAAAGCATTTATAGGCAAAGTTAAAGAAACAATTGAAACAAAATTTGGTTATAGTCGAAGCTAGTCCGATAACAAGGGATGGATTTGAAGACATTTATAAATGGCTAGATACGGCATAAATAGAAAGATAATATTTTTTAATATGTAATTGTAGAATTGATGTTTTTGAAATGTATAATCCAAAAAGTTTAGTAAAATTTAAAACTAATGTAAAAAAGTTATATGTTTTTCAATAATTTTAGTTTCATCGGTTTTCTAATCAATGCATTTGGAAAACCTTGAATACTAAAGAGGACTTTCGGAAATTTTGTTTCGAATTTAATTTTCCACAATCCGTGACGCAAACTGTGTTTACATTTCGTGCTTACTTTTGTACCTTAGCAGGAAATATGAAATTATGTAATCGGTTTGAGTACTTCCTTATTTGGAATTCAAGGAAAATTATATAAAATGTTTTATTATATTAGAATCTAAACTATTTGTCTAAAAATATTGTTTTTCGTCAAATTTAAAAATATTTCGTTTTGTCAAATATTAATCTGTTCACGATTGTTTTGTCAAAAGATTTGTCAAATTTTAAATAGAAAATGACATTTTAATTAAAACTGTGGAAGCGGCTTAAAAGCTCTTTTACCTTTTAAGAAAAAAAGCTTATCCAGCTGATGAAGTGATCATATTGTGGATTGGGTGGACGATAAATGAGGATATGTCATTATAATTTGTATATGTGATGTGAAGAAATTATTCTTTATTAAGTGCCTAACTACTTAAGATTTAGTTTTAGAATTGTTTACATTTGTTTGTAGATGTATTTAAAAATGTCTTTTTTATCATTTTAACAATTTCACTAATAATATTGTTGATAAAATGTCATCTAATTGGTTGATGGTTTAATTGGAAAAGAAAATTTGAAAAATTACCAAAAATTTAAATATTATTCATTTTACAAAAAATTAATTTGGTCTATGAAGTTTGTCATCAGTCATCACATTACTCAGGATTTTAGATTAGCAACTACTGTAGAATTTGTGGAACATCATTAATCTCAGGTTTGATCGATTAAGCGTTTAATAGTTTTATTCAAACTTATAGGTCGTAATTTTAAATTTGGTAAGTATTTATTATATGAACATAAATATAACAAACATACATACATATGTATGTATTTTTTCTCACATCAGTTTGATTAAAAGTGTAAAATTTATAAAAATTTTTAAAATTTCGTCTGTTTATGTGGTGAGTTGTTGCGGTCAAACCAGTAATTGAAACTTGATTTAAGATTTTTTTTAAATATGAATTGATCAATTTCTATATTTTGTGTGATGAGTTACTTAAAGTATTTTAATCACATAAATGTACGTGGTTTTCTACATGCTTACGCACATTTGTTAAAGTTCGGCTTAAATCAAGTCGGAGTTTAATATTTTTTTGTAGAAGACTACAGCAAGAACAAGAATTTTCCTTTTAAAATTTAAGTTCAGATTAATTATTTTAAACGTAACTATTTGCAATTAAAACGGTTCTTTCGAGAAAATTATTATTAATTGTATTGCCTTTTTGTTTTACGGAGCTTTGAATCTCTTTACATCATTTTTTATAGAACCCATGTGCCTAACCCGCTATCTAATGTCTCATGTCTACTTGCATGTTAGATATGAACGTACATATGTATTTATTTAATTTATTTTGTTTCTAATAAATAAAATGAGCATTCATACAAAATTGTTTAAAAAGCTTAAATTATTGCTAATATTATTTTTTCTTCTTTTGCATGGGTAGGTAGCTATGACTACATTTATGCAAATATTGCGAAAAAATTTGAAAAAAATGAAACACATACTGCCACACGATCAAACACACGATCAGTTTTGTTATTGTATTAATTAGGAATGGCAAATGTACAATACATCTCATTTCAAATTATTAAGGTTGCCATTCTAAAACATTTGCTGAACGTTGTCGGAAATTAAATATAACCAAATGAAAATATTCAAAATGAAAAATATTTAAAAATATTGGCTAAAAGTCTTTAAGCCACGTTTCATGTAAGAAAACAATTTTATTTAAATAGATATGTATATGTATGTAGATACATACATACATAATAAATAGAGCATTGTTTCAATGTCAGCAACAATAAAAACTTGAAAATTTAGAGTATTTCACATTTATAATATAAATATATATGTATATTGTAAAAACTTGTATGGTAACTTACATACGTACGTTATGTAATACCTCTCACAGCACTAATCCGTACCGTAGTATTTTCCAATAGAAATTGTACATTTTACATGAGGCGCGCGCGGACTAAGTGTGGGTGACTAAGGAAAATATCTAGGTACAATATATCGTAACAAGGATTTATTGAAGTTTTTCTTCCATTTTTTAATTACTTTTCGCGTGTAATTTCTTGTACATTAAATTTATTTTTCAATTTTTGTAAATAATTAAGAGTTAATTTAAATATTTTTTTTATTTAAAAAAAAATATTTAATTGAAATTAACTGCAGCTTGTTGAAATTTTTTGTAATTTATTTTAAATACTCGTAGCTATTTTATTATCTAGCACAAAAAAATATTATCAAATCTAATTATTTAATTACAAAACGATAATTTTTTATTTGAAATTATTGCAGATAACAATTATTAAAAATTTATTTTAAAATTTTTTCAGTATTTTTTTGTATCACCAATTGTTTTTGTTTTGATTTAAAAAATTAATTATTAATGAAAAATTGTCCTATTACAAAACTCAATTGTGTTATTATAAAAATCCATTATTATAAGAATCAATTTTGAAAACAAATTATAACTATTATGGTGTCAAAATGTAGAATGTTTTCTGCTTAAGAGCAAAAGGCTTCCACAAAACTTCTCCAGGGAACTCTGTTAGGGACCATTCTTTCTATTTCTGCAATGACCATTCTTTTTTTTCAATGTCATGTTGTTTGTGATATTATAAATCTAATTGCTGGGCCAACGTTTAGATATATAAGTGTGGTTGTGCAATTTGACTTAATTTATTTAAAAAAATATTAAGTTATTTTGAGAAGAAATTCTAACTGTAATTGATAAATTCTAACATCATTGCATACGCAGATGGGTCAAAGACCAGTATTGGGACGGGTGCGGGGCTATTTATGGCCAAGAACCAAATTCTCCGAACCTATAGGAACTTTTCCGAGTGTGTTTCGGGCTGAGTTGCACGCCATTGAAAAGTGCGTGCAGTTTAGCCTGGAAAGGGGGTATCGGGGACCGGAAATAATGATTATGTCGGATAGCCGAGCTGTGGTTGAAGCGCTGAACTCGTTTTCAGTGTCCTCCGCGGCAATATGGGGCTGTCTTGAGAAGCTCAATGAGTTAGGCAGATGCAACCGGGTCACACTTTGTTGGGTGCCGGGCCATGTGCGCGTGGAAGGAAATGAGGCCGCTGATGCGCTTGCAAGGAAGGTGGCAAACACTCTTCTTGGGCCAGAGCCCTTCTGCGGAATCGGACCACATACTATTCCTTGGGAATTAAGGAAGGAATCAGAAAGAAGGCGATCAGAGCTCTGGAGAAGTCTTCCGGGGCTGTGGCAAGCCAAGGAGTTCCTGGGAGATTATGACCAGAAGCGATTTAAGAAAATTATAGGGATGGGCAAGAACCAGGTGAAAGTCCTCATCGGCATTTTGACGGGCACTGCAGGCTTAGGGGACACCTCAGTCGGCTGGGCCTGGGGAATGAGGTTACTTGCAGATTCTGTGGGGAGTATGGAGAGACCTCGGTGCACCTCCTGGGGGAATGTGATGGTCTGGATCGTAGGAGTGGGAAGGTGCTGGGGGACTTTGCTCTAACGGTGGCGGAGTTACGGTCTTCTGGTCCTCACAAGTTGCTTGAGTTCATCAGGAGGGTGGATCTCCAGCATGTGTTGTAGGGCATGCCCCACACTCGGATGGGGGCGCACAATAGATCCTTATACGTGGTCGCGGTGCACTGTTGCCCCTGTTGCACAAATCTACAATCTACATCATTGCATTATCAACAAATTTTAGTATAATGTTGTGCACACGTTGCTTAAAATTCAATTGCTACATTAAGAATTGAATAAATTGATTTACTCATACCATTTGAGAATTTTTTCTTTTTTTTTTTAAACGGTCCTATGTTTCTACTATATACATACTTACTTAGATGTATACAAATATGCATAAGTATATATTTTTATTTAAATTAAGAATGACAAACTTGTTTGCTCCTTTTAGTGCTTGCATACTTACAGGGTGCCCAATACTCAATGGTGTAGTGCACAACAAAAAAAAACTTTTTACTTTGTGGGTCCCGTTGGTTACCCGTCATTTACTCATAATTCCACGTTACTAACCTACCGTTTTTTACAGGAAGAAGAGCCCTGTATTCTGACCTTCATTTTATGATATAGCATAATATGGGAAAAATTTCAGAAATGAAATGTCTATCATGCGAAAAACTGAGATCAAAACATTAGAAAATTAACTGAAAGTATTTTCAGTAAGGTCAAAATATTTCCAAAAGTTTCGAGAATATCGTGTCAACGAGGGAAATTTGGGATCCAGTTTAAAAGAAAAAAGCAAAAACAAGTTTTTTCGCAACAAATTACAGTGCAATCTGTCTAAAACGGAATCTCAGGGGATCAAAAAATATTTCCGTTTTAAGCAGGTTTTCGTCTCTAAAGAATTAAAAAGAAATTTTATGATTTTATAATGTATGTAATACATTAAGTTTATTACAGATTTTGTTTTCAAATCAAAATAACAAAAAACTTGGCATAACTTTTTCCTTTTAAGTTGAGCGATTTCATATTTTTCTTTCAAATATAATGTTTTTTTTTTATTTTACTCATGTTGCTGCGAAAAGTTTTAAAATTATTCTGAACAGTTTAATAATTATTCAATTTTTTTACCAATTTTTCTTAAGCTGGAGAACTTATCGACAAAATTTTGAAATTTATATTCAATTGAAATTCATTCTATCACCCTGCTTTTATCATCTGGAATACCATTGAGTTTCGGAAACTCTGTATATTAGTAAACCAGTCCGAATTTTTTTTTTATTTCATTTTGCAGCAATGAAGTATTGCTCATAAACTGATATGCTGCATATTACACGATGATTGTAATTAGTGAGAGTTTAAGACTTTAAATAAATATGTATGTATGTTTTTGTATAGATATGCATTAATTTATAAAATGCCGTACCATAAGGAAGATTGACACTTGAAATAAATTAAAAGTAGCAAAATTTTAGAAAAAAATGCATAGCAGCAAAATTTGGATTGAAAAGTACCATAAAAGGAGCACAGGTCTTTTCATCTAAAATATTGTTTCGCAAGATTAAAAATATTATTAATAACTTTTCTATAACTATAGATTGCTATAAGAAGAGAAATTACGTTTTCGCAAACATAAAATATTTAATTAATCTATTTCATAAATTTAAAATCAGAAAGTTAAGAATATTTTGTTGTAATTAATTTGACTTTGTCTCCAAGTTTTCTAATTTATGTATATTAAAGTATATCTTTTAAACAAAGTCTTTTCTTAAGAATAACTCATTATAAGTCCTTTGATGAAAATTATTGTTTTTACTGTTCCTATTTTATATCTGTTTGAAAAATTTTTTTGATGAAACTTAATTGCGAAAAACCTATTCAGTCGATGTAGAACCATGCGGCAAAATTAAAACATTCATAGCGAATCGAAGATATAATAGCTTTAATCATGTCATTAAAGCGTAGTATTAAAACGAAAAGAAATATGAAAAAATTCCACAAATATAAAAAAACTTTTGTTGTAAGTTGTTCAAGAGGCTTCCAAATATTGTATTTGCCCTTGCGGAAGTTTCTGGAACATTATTTTAAAGTGATTTACATGAATAAGATTTTGTAAAACTTTTAGTTTTTGTTTACTTACATTTATATTGAGTAAAAAAATGTAAATTCTAACTAAAGTTGCAACAATAAACCCAAAACATTAAGTTTTTATAAAAAGAGTTGCAATATATTTTCGTAAAAAATGCATTTATTCTAACTCTTCCTACATTTGAAAACATTGCTTTTTATGATATGGTATTTATACATACAATATAAAGCATACATACTAAGTAATATTTTAAAATAAATTTTGCAAATCGGCATAAACTAATATAGCAAACAGTTTGTGAAATGTTTTTTATTGTAAGTATAAATACACTAAAAATGTTATTTACTTCGCGATTGTATATCGACTTACACTGTAAATTCCCATTTTTATACTCGTACGAACGTAGGTTCGAAGGGTGTACTAAACTTGCCTTACCGTTTGTAGCGCTTAGAAATAATGGTCTGAGACATAGATTCAAGTATGTTTTTGATCAGCGTCGAATTCTGAATCGATTTGACTTTGTCTGTCCGGCCGTCCGTCTGTCTGAACGATAACTCAAAAACAAGTTGAACTAAGATCACCAAATTTTCATTCAAAAATTATAGAAATTATAGTATTGAAATTTCGCACAGCGAATGTATTATTGAGGTTATTGTGTTTGATAAAAGTCATTGAAATTGCTTGACTCCTTCTGGTAGCTGTCATACAACGTCAATAGTAGTTTGACCATGTCTTGGAAAATATTGAAATCACAGTATTGAAATTTTGCATAAATTAATATGGCAATACGACAACTTAAAGTCATAGCCTGACTCATAGTCAGTTATGGTATATCTACTCGCACATAGGTTAACAAATTCGTACGGGTATCAAAGAGTTGAGACAGTCAACTCTATTTTTTCCAGTTTTGGTTATTGATATAAAGAGATAAGTATATAATCTCTTATATAAAGAGATACAAAATGTAGATTAATGTTTATATACCATACTGTAATTTTGTATTATTTTGATACAGTATTATAAAAGTGCTAACACTAAATAGAAATGATCGCTCTTTAATATTAAATATTTCTCTCCTGTTTTTAATTTTGTTTTTGTATTTGTTTTAGTTTGTTTGCTCTCCTTTACTTTATGTGAAATTCTCCCATTTTATGTTTTCTTTTAATGGCATGATCTTTTATTAACAATTTTTTTTGAAGTTGCTGCTTTTGAATTTTCAAAGGTTTTTCTTTTACCCGTTTTTTTTAAGTTTGAATAAATAATTTATTTTAATAAAACAAAAAAAAATAAAAATTAAAAAGAAACCAAGCAAGTTTGCTGCTAGCTGAATCACACAAAAATCGATCATTTATGCTCAAACAGTGGTGTAAGTAATGGTAAATGAAGGAAACCAAACATAGATGGTAATGGTAGAAAATAAAGTCATAATAAAACAAACGGAATTTTAGTTTTTCTCGAGACGTTGTTGAGTTAATGTAACGGTTATCGCATAAATATTTATTGTCTGATTTCGGTGCATTAGGAAAAAATGCCTAATAAAAAATTTTGCATAATTTTAGAAAATAATTTACACAAGTTTTAAGACTTCTACAATTTAATTGTCAATATTCGTGTTCGAACTTTTTCTCGTTTTGTCAATTCGAAAAGATTTGTATAGCGATTGAAACTGTGTCGGTATAAAAAGAATAACAAATAGCTTTTTTATGAAAAGAAAAGTTATTATTAATATTCAAGTAAAACGAAAAAATATTCTAATAAAAATGATCAAAAAAAGAAAAATTATTTATTAATATTCTGTTAGTTTTTTTTTGACATATTCAAACTAAAGCCTTTTTTTTCATTCAATATTTTAACTTCGAGATTGCTTGTTTGCAAATATTGGTTGTGTCTTTTAAAAACTTTCGGAATAAATTTATTTTTAATTAACAAAAAAATTTTAAGAATTTTTAAATTTTAGTAGAGTGCTGAACTAATTTTTTTTATATTGAATTCGATTTTAAATTATTATAAAAATATATATATACATACAAATAATTCTATATGTATATGTTTACATAAATATATGTATGTATACATACTTATATATTTAGATCAATAAAGAATTTCATTCGAACTTTCATTAAAAAATTTTTTACGTCAAAATTTTTTTAATATGTATTAATTTTAATAAATTTTAATTTTTTAAATATGTGTTTTTGACATTTACTAGTCACTTTTTAAGAAGTGATGTAGAGATTTTTTTAACGGTGAAATTTACATTTTATTAATTTATTAAGAAAAGGAAAGAAAATTAGATAAAATGAATTGAATTAATTAGTATCAGCAGGAAATATCAATATAGTCGAAATAGAAATAAAAATATTTAAAATAGAACAGCTTATCAAGATCGGAATAATCTTAAACTATTGTGTTTTTTAAACTGATATTAATTTCAGGCTATTGGTGCGTATTACCATTAGCAAATTTCAAAATAACTAGAATATAATTAACAACTTAGTGTGAACAAATAAATTTGTCTTTCAAAAAATTTAATTTCGTTACGGAAATTAGGAAAAATTATCGTGAACAACTTTATCAACCCGATGATCAACTGCTAATTACGTACATACATATACATACTAACGTATGTATAATTTTCAAATCGGCAAAAATTACTCAAAAATGTAAATGTAAAATTCAAGGCATCTGTTAATAAATGTTTAATTAATTCCAAGTAGATGTAAAAGTAAATGACTGCCAATCAAAAATATTGAAGTATGAACTTCTCTATAAGTATTCTCTAAATTCTAAGTATTTTATATATTTTTGCTTGAATATAATTTTAAAGCCAAACTAAAATTTGAAAATTACAATTTTTTTTAATTTAAACTGCATCACGTTGAAAATTCTTACTTGTTTTAATCATTTTCAAGTTACTTGACAAAATCGCATTATTTCCAAATTGAAATCATCAATTCAATCTTTTAAAATATTGAATAAATATCTAATGTGAATCACAATTCTATATGATTGAATAAACAATAATTATATATATTATATATATATGCCTCATAAATATTTTGATACATAAACCATCTGTGTATAATCAGTGTTAGATTCATTATGTCCTTTGCTGTGGACATTAAATTACTATGTCATGCAGTAAACTTAATGTATGTTGTGATATGAATAATGTTTTAATATCAATTTTATAGATTTCAAAAATAAAGTTTTTTGCGTTTGTACTTAATAGTTTAGCCGTTGTACTTGAAATATTGGTATTATAAATTCTAAGTTCCATGCCAACGTGTTAAACAAATAAATTTATATTTAACAACCATACTTAAAATATGAAGAATTTATTTTAAACCATGACAAAATTTTTATTTCCAAATGAAAATAAAATCTTGTGTAGGCGTTTTTAAATCTACGATTGTAAAAATGCAAATATAGTTTTTATAATGGTATACTAAACGGTCAAGTGTATGTTGTTGAAGAGATTCTAAAATAAAATTATATTCTAAAAGGTTTTATTAGTATTGTTTAGCATCATTTTTTCTATTAAATTGACTATTGTTTGCTTTTTTGTTAATTTTAGAATAAATATTTGCAAATGATTTCAATTTGAAAATTTTAGTTTTTATTTGATTTGAATACGAGTAACTAATAATTTTTTTTTTTTGCAAAAGTGGTGAGTCAACTAAAAATTTGCCGCCTTTTGAATTTTAACAAAATATTTAATTTCTTCAAATTTGACTTCCTACATATTATTGAGTTGCTTTCAACTCATACAATTCTTTAATTGTTCCGTTATCAATCTCTCCATGTAGAAATGGAAAGAAAAACTTAACTATAGTTGGCAATTAAAATAAAAGAGTTACGTGTTAATAGTCGAAATATAAATGCATATAGTAAATCAAGGGAAAATAAATAAAATTAAATGGATATATAATAGGCATGCAAAGTGCTGACTAGGGCCGTATTTACCAATCACTTTTATGTCTGCTTTTCCTTTTTAAGTTTATTAGTGTTCATCTACCTCAAATGCAACAGAAACTTTGAAAATTCGATTAATTGATTAAAAAAAATTAAAATGTACAAAAGAGGTACATTTTAATTTTTCTTTCACTTTTAATTGCAAACATGTAGGCATTTTCTTAATCAGAAACTTTTGATATTTTTAATATTCTTATTTATTATTGCGATAAATGGCATTACAAATTGTTGTATGAAAATTAATATCAATTTTCCATACAACAATTTGTAATGACTAGCTGAAACATATTTGAAAACCATATTTAAGAAATATAAGTGCTTATGAGGAGAAAATATTTTAATTTTATTTTATCATATTTTATAGGAATACAAAAATTTCATTTAATAACTATTGTGCATGTCCGAGAAATTAAGTAAAACTTTTATAATAACGATTATTAATGCAAAAGAAAAGAAACACAGTAATAAAATACTAAAAATATTTTTCATAATAGCATATAAAATATTAAAATTCGAAAAAGAAAACAAAAAATACTTAAATAGTAAAACTAAAAATTCAAATAGAAAAAAAAAACTGCATAAAATCTTTTCTAAAATTTAAAAAAGAAGAAAAGAAGTTGTTTTTCATATTTTGTAGCTTGTTTTAACCTACTTTCTTCATTTTAACAACTTTTTTTTCTATATTAAAACTATGAGTGCCTCTTTTAAAATAAAAGAATAGTGCGGAAATTTTAACATAACTAAAGTAACAAACAAAATAAAAACGAGGTGAAAAAAAAAGTGATCCACGTGAAAATTATTTGATTTTTTTTGTTACGAAAAACATTTAGAAAAAAAGAAAAATAATTTATTTTACAATAATTGCTATTTTAAAAGTGGATGTTTTAAAAATTTGAATCGGAGTGTAATAAAAAACAACGAACTGTATTTCGCGCGTTAAAGAAAACTGATGAAAGAACAAAAGACTTTGTTTTATTTTGACATAACGGTTTACAAATATTTGATTCGTATTTAAATGCACATAATTTCGAAATGCAAAAGATGTGCATGCGTGCTTTCATATATTCATTTTCCATATCGGTTCCATAACTGAAAATAAAACGAGTGCTTGGTGTTAAGAAAAGTACAAGAAAAAAGTTGTTATAAATTTTATATTTTAATTGTTATACTGTAGGTTAACATTAATTTTCAAATTAAATAAAAAACTTTATGTATGCGTAAATTTATGATACTTATTCGTTCCTTTATTCATACAGAATTTTATCAAAAGGTTGGTAAATAAATAATTAGCAAATATTTATTGTACTAAATACATGTGTATATTATAATATTTTAACTAGTACTTAAGTTTTGAGCAATTAATAACAATATTTTAATGTCGCCCAGCAAAAACTTTTTTACTAAGTATCTTCGAATATGCCACATTACTTACACGTTTTAACAATAAGTTAACTTAAGCTGTCATTTAAAAAATTATTCCACAACACAACACGAGCGATACTACAGTTCGGATTTCATACGGAGTTGTAGAACGCTCTCGCAGTATTTTAATATACATATATGATAAAATTTTTAATGATTTACAGTTATGTATATCATGTAAACATTTTGTCACTTAATGTCTTCATTATTATTTGAAAGTTTCAATTTGTTTCAATTTGTTTTTTTTAAGTTCTTGTTTTGCACACATTCCTTTTGTTTTAGTGCTAGTTTACACAATTAAAATTTACATTCATATATTAACTTTTTTAAAATTGTACTTACAGAAAAGGAGTAAATGTTAAAAGCTATTATTGTAATTTCATTTGTATCCCGTGGTCACTTGACTTCAATTGGAACAAGTTAGTCAATTTAACAATTTTATAACATTTTAGGCAAACCATATTGGCCAAATGTAAAAGCAAATGACATCAAATTTATGGATGGCTCTTTAATATTAGATATTTGCCACTGGTCTGTCAAACTAATATATTTAAACATCCATGAACATTTATAATGCTCCGAATGAATGTCGATGTTTGCTTCCAATGCCAATTGAATTTGATTAAAAAAAAGTTTTAATAATGAACTCCTTGCAAAAGATTAATGCTTTACAAGTGAACGAATTTAATTTGTGGCTCTTCAAAATGATAAGTTTACATGTATAATAAAAGTTCAATTTTAGTTTTTCACGAGAGCAACACCGAATAAAAAAAACAAGAAAAGATATAGTTGACCGTGTCAACTCTGTGATACCCGTACAAATAAATGATTTTAAATGTCGGAAATAATTGACATACAGTTTCATACAACCTCTTGCATTTTATATGTCTAGTGCTATTTCATACATATGTATATATATGTATGGTATTGTATGCATATAAACTCAAACGACTTTTATGAAATATAACCGCCCTAAAAATTATGAGATATGGCAAAATTCCTATTGCAGTTGTCTTATCAATAGTTATTATGGCCAAATAACAGCTACTGTCTACCAAGATTGCTATCAAGAATATAGGTACCAATTTAGCGTATTTATTTCTGATATTTACTGCTATAAATCGGTTGTGAAAATTTGGTGAGCTTAACTCAATTAGTTTTTAAGCTATCGCTGGGACAGACGGACAGACATGATCAAATCGACTCAGCATTTGACACTGATCAAAAGCATTCTTAGCGTTTTAAACGGTTAGGCAAATTTAGTATACCCTTCGAACATTATGTAGGTGTAATACGATCTCATAATATTAAAAAGTTGTGAACTTCACAGCGTGTCTTCATATTTCAACAAAAATTTTTTGGGAAAACTTGTTTTTATTTTTATTAAGTTTAAACCAAGGCGATATTTTTATACATGTTATGTGAAATTGAGATATGTAATTAAATCATAATATGTAAAAAATAAAAATAAAGGAAAAATAGTTGTAAAAGTACGTATTGGTGATTTCACAAACACTTGTATATGTGTTTGTGTTAAAGTAAAGTATTGCTTATACTTAACTTAAGTTCCAATTTCGAGGATAACAGTTGTTTTTTTTTTGCATTCATTGAAATTATGCGGAAGTTGAATTTAATATTGTAGTATTAACAGTGTTATATACTACAATGTACACAATAAAACATGTATAACCCCAAGTTTGAATTTTTGTACAAAGTATCCTGTTTTTTTTAAGCACTGGAACGATATTAAAAAATAAGGAAAATATTAAAATTAATAAATATTCAGATTCGCTTGAGTGGCATTGAAAATTTATTTTTAAATTTTTGGAAAACTACGTGGTTAAAAATTTGTGTAATACATTTTCAGTATAAAAGTTACTTTCCCTTTTTTAAGTATGAAAAATTTTATTTAATCAATTAGTATTGGCCGATATGGCCTGGCTAAAATGTTTTAAATTTGCCAAATTGACTAACTTTAAGAGGTTGTTGTCGAGTTCCTATATACGCTTACGCCGTAAATCGCTGAGTCGTTTGTTCTTTTCGAATAAAATTTTCAAATCTTAAAAACTAGACTCACTTTGTTCTTCGTAGGCATTCGCACTGGGATTGTTTGAAGAAACTCTTGTATCTGAAAGCTTTTGTACACAAATTTCAAACTGGTTTATAAATTGGTAATTTTCTTAATAATTATTAATTTTCTTTATATATTCTAAATGAATTCAAGTTAATCGCTAATTATGCAAAAAATAATAAGCTTTTCATGTTCATTTTAATTCGTTTATTGTGATCAAAATTAAAAATGAATACTTTATCATAGTTTTGTAAATAAAAAATAGTTTAATATAGTTTTGTTAATAAAAAATTTGTAATTGAAAATATAAAGACGAGGTTATTAATTTTTAAATTACCTTGATATTGAAAGAAAAAGTTTATAAAAATGACAAGGGAAGGATTGTTAATAAAAGGGTTATTGCGCGACCATAATGAATGTGAAAAAAGTGAAAATATTTAATATATGTGCACATAATTAAAAACTACTACTTACACGAATAAATCCGTTATTGTTATTTGAAGATAGTTAAGATTTCCGGTAAAGATGGAGTAATATTTAGTAGTAAAAATGTTAGTTAATACTTAGTCAAAAGCAATTGGTTGGGTTTTCTTTTCCATTTAAAATTTTGTTGAAATTGACTTAACCTGAAACGACAATTCCATTTTTAAAACTGTTATAAACATACATACATATGATGAATAGCTTGTATGTATGTGTATAATATAGTTGTTTTATAGTACTTATATTTCACACTTTCACTAGCAATTTTTCGGTTAATTCTCGGGAAACTCCATGCATATGTATCTGAATTAAGTTACCGTCAAAAGTAAAATTTATTTTAGTTAAAATTTATTTATTTAGATTAAAAATTATTAACGAATTTAAACCCAATTGGAACTAATTAAAGTTCAACAAGGGCCATTAGATCCTGATAATGGAAACCCGACAATAGCTACAGAGATAGATTCTAGAATACCTTTTGAGTAACCCAAAGTACATAGTTTATTATACTAACGAAAAAAAAACAATTTTGGAATTCCTTTGTATACTTAGTAATTTATAATGTACTCTTACTGTAAGTAACTATAATGTTTTTTATGTTGGCTTTTTTCATGTTTTAATTTATTTTCAAAGGAGAAGAGAATTCCAATATCTTAGAAACATACATATAAATATAAACCTATATACATCCATATAGATATATATAAGAAAAGTTTTCACCAAAATAACACGCATTCGATTTTTATTCATTTTGTATAAAATATTTCACTTTTTTTGTGTTATCGTGTATTACACCTTTCATTTAAAGCAAAATATGTATATGTATGTCCGATATAAATAATTTTCATTAAGAAATTTTGCCAATAATTTTTATTTTTACAAAAGAAAGTTTTTGGCTAATGGTTAAAAAACCTCAGTAAGTTGCAATTAATTCAATAAGAAAAACTGAAATATTTTTATGCCAAAGTGACTTTATGTTTATTTATTAAATGCGACGATTTCTGACACATCCACCTATATATTAAAAATTAAATTATTTTTATATAATTTACTTACATATTTTACAAATTTTCACTTTTATTAAAATTAAAGGTTCATACACATAATTTTACATTAAAATTTCGTGATTATAAAAATACTAAACGTCATTGTAGCATTGCGATAGTTAATTGAATATTTTCAGCCAATGTATTTTTATGTGTATAGAGACATGTGTTAATACACGCATCTGCGAGAAGAATATTAAAACTCAATATTTTATTGTGAATAATTCAAATTAAGTTAAATTGAATTTAAATTAGTTTTTAAATTGAATGATATATTGTAGAACTAAATGAAAAATTTTTTTTATTACTTATTGAAAATTACATTACAAAAAGGTATTAAACGAAAAAGTTGTCTTAGGTTTTTTTTAAAGAAATTTTTTAAAAGTTAAGGAATGTAAATGTCATTAAATATTAATTTATAAAATTTACCTAATATTGTAATGTCAATTAAAATTTCATTAAAATGACACTAAACAGATTTTCGTTAGATTTTGCAAAAAATTAAAAAAATTTCTTAAGTTTGCGTTGTACAAAATTGGTTAGAAAGTTTTAAGTAGAAAACAATTTGTAAAAAAAAAAGAAATTAAATATAATCTTATTGTTGATGTATTTAATATTCTTCGTATTACATAATTGGAAAATACCCTTGCTTAATTTTTGAGTAATTAAAAGTTATTTTAATGTTTATTAAAAGAAATGTTAAATGACATGATTGAAAGTTTAAGCCAAACTTAAATACTTTTTAAGGTTAATGTTTTATTGATAAAGTTGTTGAATTTATATATATACATGGATTCAAAATATTTCAAATATCATTAAAATATATGCAATATATGTATGTAAAAGAGATGTAGAAGTAATAAATATTACTTAAGAAACTTCAGTTTTTGCTTACGTTCACCAAATGTAAAACATTTTAGTGTTTTGATTATTTAGAAATTTTGCTAAACGTCTTTTACTGTTGTTCGCAAAGAATTAATAGTTCAGACTAAGTATTTATTACGAATTCACATAAATTTTTAAAAACATTTGATCTCCAATTTAATTAAATTAAATTTTAAAATAATGAACTATGGGGTAGGTTAGAAGAAAAGCCATAGAAGGTTATAAAGAAAGAAAGTCTGAAGAAGACAGCAAAAGTAAAACCTCTGAAAGTAATGTAAAAGGCCCGTTACATCAAGGAAGTGGACCAACGATCGATTCGAGTATAAGTGACTTGGAAAAGTTGTGTCAGGAACGGGAAAAGTAGATCTGCAAATTAGGAAAGTCTAAAATTATTGGAACAACAGAATAAAATTGCACTGACAAAGACAAGATGGTTGTAATCGTGTACGAATCAGATAAGGAGAAGTTGACTAGAAAAACCGATTTGATTCTTAAAACCAAAATAAACTCAAAGAAATTCACCAAAATGAATTGCTTTCAAATGATGTTAAAAATAAATAATAACGACTAACTTAAGCTATTAATAAAGTCAAATTAGAATGGCATACTTATAAAAATAAATTGACGAGGCCAATTAAAGTAATGGTCAGAAACCTACATCCATCGTGTGAGCCGCAAGATATTAAGTGTGAAATTACCTAAAGGGGATTTTAATGCAATAAATAGAATTGAAAACATGAAAGAAAATAACGTGAATACTATTAAAAAGTTGCTTTTTCCATGTCATCGTTCAATTATACGGAAGGCATACATAAATAAAATATATAAAATAGAATGAAAGTAAGAGTTGAGCCTCTCGGCACATGAAAGTAAAACTTGAGCCTCTTACAAGTAATGGATCCATTCTTCAAAAATGTGACGGCAAAGTGTAATGAGAAAGATAAGTTTCACACCAAATGTGCAAACTTCAGTGAGGCCCATCATGCCAAATACCGTGGCTGTTTAGTGGCCAAAGAATTACAAAAAGGGGGAATGAAAAGGAATCGGCCTAAACGGGTTCATAGTAATCATGAAACGACTAATACTTTTATATCACACAAATTAAAAAATTGTGTTACATACCCACAAGTGGCTTTCAAAATTGTGGAAAGCTATATGGATAAAAGACCTTGCAAGGACATGAAAACTAAAGAAATTGACAAAAATATAATGCAAAAATCTGAAAAAATTGTCAATAGCATAAGGCAAAAATCTGAAAAACTTGTTGTACATACCCACAAGTGGCTTCCAAAATTGTGGAAAGCTATATGGATAAAAGACCTTGCAAAGACATGAAAACTAAAGAAATTGACAAAAATATAATGCAAAAATCTGAAAAAATTGTCAATAGCATAATGCAAATAGTGCAAGACATGCTACTAAGAATTGACGATATCTCAATGATATTATCTACGGAGAGCAGAAATGATAACGAATATCTAGCAACCCCGAAAAGATTTCTGGAAAATGTTTTCCAATTTATACGAAGCAAAATTTTGCAATTTTTGCAATAATTTTGCAAATTGTTATTGACAGGGCTAATGCCGACAATAGGAAATAAGAAATTGATTTCGAACCTCTGTTTGGTTTTAGAACTAAGCATGCAATAATTGACCAAGTACACGGAATAAAAAATATTTTTGAAAAGCCGTTAGCAGAAAAGCAAATATGTTCGACATTATTTCTGGAAGTGGCTTAGACATTTGACAAGTTTTGGCACGACGGTTTATTATTTAAACTTAAGAAATTGATATGTGTACGATATTTACCTGATAGGCTTTTTTGAACTAAACAGGACAAGGAGTACTCCACGATTAGGGGTATTAGGGCTGGTTTGCCTCAAGGCAGTATTCTGGGTCTTTTATTATGGAACTGTGTCATGAAATATAGGGTGCTTTTTAAAACAGTATCTAAATATTGAGGCCTCTCGAATTATAAGGGAGAGGCTTGGGACATAAAGATTGAAGTGAACGAAAGTTAGGGCAGAAAGACTAAAGTGACTTTTCGGCTTAGTCCACAGTGCTGAGGCTGCGTGCTTTCCTTTACGGAATGTAGACATAAAAACATGATAAATTGAAACTAATGGTTTCAGGAGTTTATGGCCATTTATAACCGTTTTATATTGTGTTGAATTCCCCCACTATTGACAGGTCTGACGATAGTTTAGGTTCGTCAATTTTTGCCTTTGGATGAAATTTAACACCTGTTTAAAAACAAAACATTTAATCTTTTTTGCAACTTAACCTGAAGAGATGCAATATATGTAAGTACATAAAAAAAATGTGTCATATGGGCAAAAAGTGTTAAGTTAAATATACATATTAGATTTTGACAGCAGTCAAAATTTTTTTTTATTTGGTATGTCCTCTTATGTATGTATTTTAAAATAAACATTGCATATTAGATAACAATTGTTACAAATAGATATCAAAATTTGCTTTTACAATTCGAAAATGACAATCTAGTACTTATTAATGTACATATGTATGTATTTATAAAAAAAATCTATTAGCTACTCATCTATTTAACAAATATGTCTTTGATAATTTAATAGAAAAAAATTGGAAAATGAATTTCTTGAAGGAGAGCATAACACTTAAAAGGTATCAATTTCATTTTCAATGGAAAATTATATTTACTTTCACTACATCTTGTATCAAATGTGTATGTTTTTCGCGCATAAGTGACATTCTGCATATCGTTTAGAGTTCAGCGCTGTTTGATTAATTTAAGTTTGTTTATTATTTTTAATGCTTACACACATGCATAAGTATTTATTTTTTAATTATGGAATGTGAAATTTGTAATTTGTGATGAAAAATTATGAAAAAAGAAAAAGCAAATTTTGTATTATTCTGCAAGTGGTAGTTGCTTTGTTCCATGGTTAAAAAATATTATTTATGTTATTAAAAACTGAATTCACGTAATATTTGAATTAAAATATGTATAAAGAAAATGTGAAAGAAAAATTTGAATTTATTTCACTTAAAACAAAAACAAAAAATTATATTCATAAGATAAAAAAGCAACTGATAAAACTGGTTTAGTTTTTGCGTCAATTTAATTATGGTTGTTATTTTTTTTACTCTTGTTTCAATATCATTTTTTATACCCTAATAGTGAATGTTTCCAAAAAAAAAGTTAAACTCATGCAACACAGTGACTGTTAGTAAGTACGTATGTATGTATACATATATGTATATATGTATGCGATCACTATTTTGCTTTTCTTTCTTATTTTGTACCTTATGGAACAAGTTTGGAAGCAATAAAAATAAAATGAAGAACAATAAAGAAAAATGTTGACCACACCATGATCGCCTTTTTACATCACGCTATACTCGTAGTAGTAGCAACGACTAATAGTACACTTTTTAAAAATTAAATTAAAAAAAAATACATATATATAAATTATCTATACAAGTTGTTATAGAGAAGAAACGGCAGAAGAATAATTATTATTTATCTTAAAGAAGCGAAAAACTACATTGTCAATATTTGCTTTACTAATATTTATGGGAGTAGTGAGACGCCGAACGAAAGAATTGTGTGATTATACGAGAGGATACGAGTTATAAAGATAGTACTCTTATTTGTCAAATTACATGCGATTAATCTCCCACTTCAATCCTAATAAAATTTAACATTGGTTCCGGGGGAGTACTGCAGACCTTATGTCTAATACCTAGTCGAGTCGATAGATCTTATCGATAACCTAAATTTATGTTTATAAACATATGTAACCGTTTGCACCACATTTTTAGATCTTAAATTCCTTTAACTCAATTTTTTTGAAATTATTTAGAACTTTTTTCTAGAATCACTATAACAACGGATTTGACTTCAAACCTTAAATTCCTAAAAAAGTGTAGAAAAAAAATTTGTTTTTAAAACCAAACCGTCTTAAATTGATATCGTCAATTGGATAATGGCTAAATATTATTTTTGTTTTAAAAAGTGATTTCTATTCAGGAGATTTTTACAAAAATTAAATGGCGAACCTGGAACATCGTGTACTTTAAATATATTAAAAGTAACCGCTTTACTATTTTTAATCGCTTATATGTACGAGTACATATGTATGTATGAAGTACAAAAACCAAAATATCCAAATATGGATAAACAACTTGAAAACTTGAAAAGAAAAACAAAAGAAGAAACGAAAAAATTTCACGTTGTATTGTAACCACACCGTACTGTCATCGTGTATTTACCAATACAGTCACCAAATGAGTCTATGCTTTCAAAATTTGAGAAGTGATTTCGTGTTATAAAACGGTCATTTAAAACGCAGCGAAAAAAACTTTTATATTTATTACCTTGATGATGTTCGTTTATTCCGTTATTTTAATCACACTTTTCAATATATTTTGCTGAGATGTTAAATTTTTACTCTTTTTTTTATTTTTGGTATCATGTTTGTACATACATATGTGTGCTCTGCCATATTTGTACATACATTATGTACAATATGTACATATGTATGTATATTGAAATTTGATGTATCTATTCAAATTTAGTGGCATAAATGTTTGTGTCTATCATGAAATCGAATAAAAATATAGTTTTTGCTTTTCTGAGAGTGTCAAATGAATGGTGAGAAAACCCCAAGTTAGGGATTGTTCTTTTCATCAATTCAAAATATTTTTGTCTTTGGCTGTTACTTGATCTTCAGACACTATATATAAGTTAACTGAAAAAATTGTCAGTATTCCTAGCCTGCGAGTTGTTTCGTAGAAGTGGCAACAAGAAATTCGTCTTTATGTTTGATTTCCTAAAATGTTCTTTCCTCTAAAACTAACTACATATGTACATATATTAATAATACTTATTAACACATATGTACATAAAAATGTTTTTTTGTTTAAAAAGATAGTAAAATATGTGCGTGCTAATATACATAATATATCAATAGGGATTAAGATGCATATGTACTTTATAAATTAAACCTTTGGACATGCACATACATATGTTCATGCATGTATGTTCAAATACATTTACTAATTGCACCGCACCAGATCAAATTAATTAGGGACTCAACAATAGTAAAGTTGCATTTATTACAAAAGTTGGAAAATTATTTCAAAATTTTAACTAGTTTTCTTGCGTTATAAAAAAAATGTTTTTGATTTTGATTTAAGCGATTTTTAACGGGAAAATTTAATAAATTATAATAATAATTGCTATTTTTTTTCTATTTATTTTTATTACACTTAATAAATTTCTGCGAAAGAAAGTTTTTTTGAATGTATACATACATATGTATGTATGTATATTTTGTATGGAAAAATCCTGAAATGTTGAATTAAAACACTTCGAAAGTTCAAGTAACATTCATGATTACATATGGATATGGGCAAAAAAATAATTCACAATATTGTTGTAAGTTTGTAATAAAAATAATATGAAACGGGGTTTTT